CTGACTCATAGCGACTCTACAGGACAGAGCAGAACTGCCCCATAGGGTTTCCAAGGAGCGGCTGGTGGATTCGAACTGCCAATCTTTTGGTTAGCAGCCGAGCTTTTAACCACTGCACTGCCAGGGCTCCAATTATATGAAATTCAATGTTAATTTTTGCTAAATTGCAGTATCTAAAATCATTGGGTGTCATTCAAAAGCAAAGCTCTATCTAAAAACATTTTCCTCAAATTACGTATTAAAAGGAATAAAAACACATCCCTAAAAAGAAAGAAAGGTTTTACTCCTAAATAATTTTTCTTTCAATTCCAACAATAATTTTTGCAGAACACTCTCTAAAACAAAAGTCAGACTCTCCTGGATTAGCCTCTTGGCTGAGTCGATCTCACATTCGGTCGGTCAACATCCTGCCACATGTTTCAGAGGAAACATGGCCGTGCCCCTCACACCAGAACTCCAGGGGGTCACTCTGATTCCAGTAAAATGTTTTCTTTTTTTTAACAACCTCACGGGTTGCTATGAGGATTAAGCAAATTCATGTTAAATGAGTTAGCATTTATAAACGTTATTAGCATAGTGCCTGGCACATATAAGTGCTGCAATATTTGTTGCTAAATTAAAACATGAACCTTGGTTAATCTCGGGAGTTCTCAGCTAAGAGCCAGACAAAGCCTGCCTTTAAGATATGCTCTGTACAGACTCAGACAGCAGTGCTCTCTCAGGCCATCAACACAAGGGTTTGGAAGCCAACTTGAAGCAAGCCGTCCAATCAAGGGTATTTTCTACCCATTCATCTACTTTTCAGTACTCTACCAGATTCACAATGTTTCTATGAAATCCAAGTCACATTCTGAGGAGACCAGAGGGCACAGTGGGATTCATGACGTGCTAGTGCACACGGAACACAAGTGATATCATGAAGCTACTATTTTCTGCTCTTTGCTGAACAAAATATTGCTGCAAAGGAAAACAGACTCTGCTCAAACTGGAAGTGACATCAAACACCATGGTATTCTGACATGTGATTACAAATACTTCCTGTATACTGAGTGCTGTGGAAAAAGAGGCAAAGATGAGATATACTCAAACTGCAGGCGAAAGGCAGTTTGAGATGTCACGTGACTGACCTGATATTGTGAGAGTGATCTCCTGCGGGGATCCCGAGGATGACGTGGAGGAGGAGCCGGCCGCCTGAGCCAACACCTGGCTCAGGCTGGAGTTGTTAATGGTCAAGGTGATCTCATGAGGACCGTTGGACGTGGACACGAGCCCCTGAGAAGTCATCACCTGAGAGAGATCCTGGGGCCCTGGTCATTGGCAGAAGCAAAACAAAGGTGGGCTTTAAAAAAGAATTCTCTCCTTTCCATGTCAAAAATATTTGAGTTAAATGATTAGCTCAGAAAGAAGAAAGATAAATGCATGTGCACAGTATAAACAGAGAGAAGAGAAGGAAGAAGAAAACATCATCATCCCTGATTCCTTAGTCGGAAGCCAATATGAAGGGTGATTACATGAAGGTAGGTATCTACGTGCAGACACTGAATAAACATCACTGATGATAGGAGCTTGTTTTATTCTTAGGACACTGGATTGATCTGCTAAGCTTTCTAAAGGGCAGGAAATGACCTCATCGTGTCCTGCAATCAAACATTGGGCTATACAAGAAACTGAAACACACGCTGTCAAAGCAAACAAGGGTATGAACCTCACCGCTGCTGGTGGTGGTCAGCACAGAGTCCTGCTCAGACAGCGGGCCAATGGTCAGGTTTGCTGACGTCACTGAGGGCTGCAGAGACAGGCCTGAGATGGGCTGGATGACCACACTGGCTGGGACGGCACTGTCTGGGGTCTGGAGCGAGCCGCTCTGTGGGGTCAGGCCAGGCTCTCCCGTCAGCTGCTGAGTAAGCACGTTACCCTGTTGCAAAGTTTGCTGCAGAAGACTCGGGTCGATCTGCAAAGGAGAGTGGACGTTCACACTGAAACGTCGTCTTTATTTGTGACACGAACTCTATCAAGACGTGGAACACATGGCAGGTGTCATACCTGTAAGGTGATATTGTTAATGCTGGAGGCATCGATCCCAGAGATCTGGACATTTGGTCCAACCAAGTTAGCAGCCAGCTGTAACTGTATGCCCTCGAGGGTGGCCAGACCACCATCCGTCAAAGACACCGTCAAGTCCCCACCAGCTGGCCAGAGAAAGGGAAAAGGAATGATAGAAGTTCTTAAACCTAAAAGAGCTTATTTTCACAAAGGGATGTTTAAATATGTCCTTTTTTACATTTTATCAATACGATCTAGTGAATGAATACTAATATTCATTTTACACCATACACATGCATTACCTAATTGTGAAACAAACCTTATGAAATAGACAATACTATCCATTTTAAACATATCAGGAAAGCAGGCTTGAAGAGATTAAGGTGATTAGCCCAAGATTTGAAACAACAAGTGGCAGTCATCCTTGCACCATGCCTCAGGTCACTTCAACGAAATGAAAACCCTCTGGATCACTGTGGTCCAATCCACAACCAATCATGGGGATGGTGCAGGATCGGGCAGCATTTCGTTCCATTGTGCATGGGGACAACATGAGTTGGGGCCGACTCAACAGCACCTAACAACAACAAGTGGCAAAGTCATCCTTACAGGGGTCACGTCAATGAAGGAAGGCCACCCCGGATGTCCAAGAGCTATTAACGACTGCTACAATTATTTGTAAGTACATAAAAAACTCAATTGCAAAAATGTAATGCTTTTCAAGCACTATTTGACCCAGGGACAACGTGACAACTCTAGTACATTGAAAACAATGCTGATGGGGCTTCGTAAACTACATCTCACATCTCACTGCTAAATTTGTGAGAATGCCACCTGAGAAGGAACCCAGCTTAAATTCATTAAACACAAAAGATAAATAAAGCTCTAAAGTCTTCGCAGATGTGATGGAAAAAGGACAGGAAATGGAAGGGAAACTACTTCTGAAAGAAGAAATTTCCATTTTTCCAGCTGTCTTCTATGAGGGAAATCATTACTGGAATGTTACTGGAATCAGACAAAAGCAATGTGCCATGTACAATGACTGCCTATTCCCCATGCACCAGCTCAACACTCACCAGACATGGAAGCAGGAAGAATCGCCTGCCCTACCAGCCCTTGCTGAAGCAAATTCTGATCAAACTGTCCAGTGAGGACAGAGTTGTTCATGATGAACACGTTGGGGTCCGAGGAGGAGGTGCTGAGCAGGTTCACGGGCTGCAGTCCCTCAGAGGAGCTCCGGGTCGCAGGCCGCCTGACTTTCCTGGGGTCAGGCTTGTAATGGAACTGCATGTGCGTCTTCCTGCGCCCGGAAGTACGGAAGCGCAGCTCGCAGTGTGGACACTTGAAGGGCTTCGCGCCTGTGTGCAGACGCATGTGAACCTTCAGGCTTCCCTTTGTGGAGAAGGCGTTGCTGCAGACATGGCAGCTGAAGAGCTTCTGACCTGTGAAAAGGAGGCAGTGGAAATCAGGGGAGCTGGACCTGCTGCTGTACTCCAACACTCACGGCCACGGGGGCCGATGTCCAGGTGGATGCCCTGAGGCCACCAAGAACCCTGTGAGAGCTGCGTGATGGATGACTGTGGTAGAAATGTGAAAGTAAGAAGTACCTGGTTTACAATTTGAGTTTCCGCAACACTTCAGTGTTTATATACCTTTATACACGGCACTCTATTGAACCCCGACTAGAGTTCTGGATTTACACTGACCCCGAGCTAACAGGGAGTACGACAGCAGCTTGGCTTCACATTCCTTCACTGTTCTTTGTAAAGTTTCACAAAGGTCATGTTAACATCTCAACATCTCTATACTCCCTTCTGCCAAAGGAGGGCACAGAAGTGCAAGCCCAACAGAAAGGACATTTAATGTGTAAAGTAAAACGGTGTCAGGGAGCCAGGAGCACGGATCTATTTCAGCACCAGCTCTATCGACCCTCGGTTCTTGGGAGGATCACAGGTCTAGGAATGGCCACAGAGCTCCAACTTCTGCGTGCCCCATGTCACCAACCCACATTCAGCCTTGAGGAGTCTCCAGAAGTAGAAAAATGTCCTGGTTTCCTTTTACCTCTTCAGAACCCAGGAAACAATGGCTAATGTCTGTCAGCACGTCCTCCCACTGCCAGGCAGGACTGGTGAAGCCACCACCCAGGCACTGCCCGGTGTCTTCAGGGGTCACCTGACCACCTCAGAGTGGAGGAAGATGCTGGAAGGTCTTTCCACTGAGACTTTCTATTCCTTATCCATGTGAGCCTTCACCAGGCTCCAAACCTAGCAGATGGCAAAGCCACCATCCAAGTACCACCCAGCGTCTTTGGGGGTCTCTGGCCACCTCAGAGTGGAGAAAGGTGCTGGAAGGTCTTTCTATCGAGACTTTCCTTTCTACTCCTCATCCGTATGAGCCTACAATGAGCAACTAACCCAGCAGACAGGTCTTTCCGCTAAGACTATCCTTCTATTCCACACTCATGTTAGTCTACACTGAGCTCCAACTCCAGCAGACAGTAAAGTATTGTGTGTGGAGTGTAGCATGTGCACACCTTCCCTGGGCACCTGTGAGACAACACACCAGACCTTGAGGCCACAAAATTAATTGAGGCCCGGCTCTTCCTCGCCTTCCGTTGTTCCTGGTTACCCAAGGGAGACAAACACACGAGCCTCATAAGACAACCGAAACAGTTGACGTAAAAAAGAGCCACAGTAAACACATTAACGTGTCTGCTTATTTAGTTTAAAATATTACTCCATCAGAAAAGAGTAAGAGGGCTTCACACAAACGAGTGAAATTCGATTTGTACTCTTGTTCAATTCTGCTCATAACCAAAAATTAAGAATATAAATTGATTTCATGGTCATAGCAACAACATTCACTCAGTTTACTACGTGCCAAACACCTTGTAAGCGATTTAATGGTTGTAACGCATTTAAACTCCTAATGAGGGAAGTACTATTATTAGTCCAATTTTACATCTGAGGAAACAGAGACTCAGAGAACTAACTTGTCCAAGGGCGTACAGTTTAGAAGTGGAGTCACCAGAATTTGAACCCAGGCAGAGATCCAGGGCCTCTCCTCTTTGCCACTAGGTTACACTGTGAAGAATTCAAGAAGCAAGGGCTTGGAGTGTTCTGCTTAGTGCAACTGACCTTGGGTTCCTCAAATTAGATGAGGGAAAAGAAGGGCATGAAAGGCGTCCATTTACTCTTCCCTTTACAAAATAAAAATGAACCAGAAGTATTACTAACAACTATAATCAGATTTGCTAAGTCCCCACACAAACCTCAACAGACTGATTCTCTTTGGCCTAAATGAGGCTAACAGGCTTTCTTAAGAAAAATAATTAAGCTTCAGTATGAAAACAAGACAATCTATAACTTAACCTTGAGAGCTAATCGCTATTTCTTGGTATCATTTGGACCATTTTCTCTGTCAGAAGTCAAAAACCATTTCTTAATGGTTCCCAATTTTGAAGTTTTCTATAATTTTGGAAGTGTTTATATCTGCAAAACATACAGGAACAAAGAAATGTAAAATGCTATGAGGTTTTTCAACATCGATGTCATTACTGAATAAAGGTATTTGTGACTCACCTGTATGGGTCTTCACGTGGCAATCGAGCGTTGATTTAACAGTGAAACTCTTTCCACATTCATCACATTTGTATGGCTTTTCTCCAGTATGGATTCGAACATGCCTAACCAAAAAGCATTTGCAATTTAAGTATTCTTCTTTTTAAATGTATGCACATTCATAAACAACTTCATGATTTTAAATTACTAATAACCCTTATAAATAAAAATTATGTGCTACTATTTATTGATTAAATTTGGCCAAAGATTTTTAAGCTTCACTGTATACAAAAACAAAACAAAAAACCCACCATAAGCAAATCTAAAAGACAACAAAAGTATCCAAATGAAAACAGGACCAACTTCCTTAAAAAAACCAAAGAGCTCTTATAAATCATAGTAGAAAAATGGGCAACGCACAGAAGAAATACAAACAGCCAAAAAGACGTGAAAAGGTTTCAATCATACTCAGAATGAGGGAAAGCAGATAGGATAACAAGACATTGTTTTCCCCTGTTGGTTTGATGACAGCCCAGTGTCAGCTGGGTTGTCTGGAAGAGGCATGTTGGAAACTTTGATTCGCGTAGGTGGTATGAGCCAGCTGGGGGCATCTGGCAGTCCCTACCAGCATGTGACCCAGATACATGACACAGTGTTCTCTTCCAGCAACTAAAACCTGAAAACTAGATGTCCATTAGCAGGGGCTTGGTACATCCATGTTGGTATACCCATGGAGAATACTGTGTCATCGTGAAAAAGAAATGAAATAGACTTACAGGTCCTGACAATGAAATTTGCCTGAGACTCAACAATACATAAAAGTAAAACAAAAACACAAAACAAGATTGCAGAACTACACTTACAGCATGTGGCCATTTACATTACATTCAGGCTGATACACAGGCAGACACTTCTGAAAACCATACGTAAGAAACTCCATGGTGGTTCTGTCTGAGCAACAGGGCTACCTTCACGTCACAACCCACTCTACCGGGTTTTGTTTTGATTTACCGAGATATTTTCTGAGCAGATACTAAGGGACGTGGAAACTTGAACTTTTTTTTAAATGAAGGCTAAGACAAGAAGAAAACAAACCTGCTTTTCAGCTATCTGATACATTTTTTAGGGACCGCTAGCTCCTCCCTCTCATTGTCACTGTCAAGGAGAGCCTCTCAGTACCCGGGGATGCCGCCTCCTCCTGCCAGCCACCACCACCCGCAGGCCTCACAGACCCACGTTACCAGCCCCCAACACCTCCACGCAGTTCCCTGGCCCTGTGAGCTCCTACCAGTGAACAAAACTCCCCTGCTGACCAGGCCTCCACTTGCTCAGTGGGACTGCTCTCCACAGAACATGTGATGCTTCCTCACACCGCCCTGGAGCCTCTGCTGGCTCACCCTCTGTCTTAATCCCCACCTCGGCTCATGCCACCCACTGCCTGGATCCCAAATCCCGAATGCGATGTATAGCTGGGGGAGTAGGGTAGGCTGCTCACCACCAGCCAGCTGCCAGGCTTCCTCTCGTCTACTCTCCCTGCCTGCCTGTCAGTCAGACTGGGCACGTTCACCAGGTGCTGACCACATGCTGCCTCACTGCATCCAGTGCCCTGACTCCTTACAAAGACCAGTGGTCCCCTGAGGAGCGTACCCGCTGCCATTAGGGTACCTACACAGCCTAGCACCATGTCATGCTCAATAAACAATTCCTAGATTTTCAGCTGTGTGTGTGTGTTTTTTTTTTTTTTAACTGCTACCACAATCATACGGAAATAAGCACAAGCAATCTACTGAGAAAACAAATTTTCCAATTACATCCTGAACAAAAGCATCTGCAGTTATATAGGTTTAAAACCACTGTGGTAAGTTGCCTTTGGGTTGATTTGACTCATGGTGCCCCGACGTGTGCAGACTAGAACTGCTCCATAGGTTTTCAAGGCTGTGACCTTTTGGAAGCAGATCACCAGGCCTGTCTTGCATGGCACCTCTGGGTGAGCTCGAACTACAACCTTTCGGCTAGTAGTCTAGCGCTTCACCGTTTGCACCACCCAGGGACTCCTGCTTAAACCACCCATCCAAGTAAATGATTAGCCACTTAAGTGGCCTCCAGTTCAGAACAGTGCTGAGCGCACTTCGTTCCTCAGTGCAGAGAAAACCATCAAAGGAACACACAGAACACATTTTCAAATATCCCAAACCAACACCCGAGGAAGACCTCGCACACGTCTCACCTGACCAGGTCACTGGGCTTCTTAAAGCTTTTGGGGCAGTAGGTGCAGCAGTTGGCGTATTTTGGCTCTGCTTCGAGTTCAGCCTGCTTGTCTTTCATCTCGCTAATGCGGTCCTTCTCTGCAGCAGACTGGACGAGAACCTTCTCAGAGACAGTGGCGCTCTCCCTTGGCCG